AATGGTAGTAATAGAGTGAGGAGGGGTGGTATTGTGGATGTGATTGAGATTGAGATTAATGGTTATAGTAAAGTAGTGCGGTAGTATTGTTGATGTGTCTGAGATCGAGATTAATGGTAGTTATAAAGTGAAGAGGGGTGGTATTGTGGATGTGATTAAGATTGAGATTAATGGTAGTTATAAAGTGAATGGGGTGGTATTTTGGATGTGATTGCGGTCGAGATTAATGGTAGTAATAAAGTGAGGAGGGGTGGTATTGTGGATGTGATTGAGATCGAGATTAATGGTTGTTATAAAGTGAGGAGGGGTGGTATTGTGAATGTGATTAAGATCGAGATCAATGGTAGTTATGAAGTGAGAAGGGGTGGTATTGTGGATGTGATTGAGATCGAGATCAATGATAGTTATAAAGTGAGGAGGGGTTGTATTGTGGATGTGATTGAGATCGAGATCAATGGTAGTAATAAAGTGGGGAGGGGTGGTATTTTGGATGTGATTGAGATCGAGATCAATGGTAGTTATAAAGTGAGGAGGGGTGGTGTTGTGGATGTGACTGAGATCGAGATTAATGGTAGTAATATAGTGGGGAGGGGTGGTATTGTGGATGAGATTGAGATCGAGATCAATGGTAGTAATTAAGTGAGGAGGGGTGGTGTTGTGGATGTGACTGAGATCGAGATTAATGGTAGTAATAAAGTGACTAGGGTGGTATTGTGGATGTGATTCAGCTTGAGTTCAACAACCCCCCTAAAAAAATGATGTAGTCACCTAAATGTTAACCCCCAATAAGCCTTGTTTAAAGGCCTCAATAAAAAATAGGAACTTATATAATTATGTTATTTGTATATATTGAACTTGTACGTTGTCTATACAAAGTATACATAGCCAGGTAAAAGTAGTCAAAAAAAGACATAAAAGCTGATGTCTTCATAAAAATAGCTTATTGAACTGATAACATGTCTTATAACATGTGTCTGTTGCCACCCAACTGAGAGCTAAGAAATGGCCCATGATTTTATATACCTAGGTCACGCGCAGCTTTCACTTCTACTAGCTGTTGAGAGGAATTCCGACCTCAAATAAAGATAGATGTTGCCATTCGTTTGTGGCGCGGAGGGAATATATCCCTCGTGCGAAGCGCACTCGTGATATATTCCTCCGCCACCACAAACTCATGCGATCCGAATACTCAGATCAACACATATGTGTGGTTTTGCCTATTTAGCAAATTATAAATAAGAAAACAAAGGCTAAGTAGCCTTGATCGATAAATGAACTTTAGATGATGTGCCATTTGATAACATCCTGTGACTATATGAATGCGCTAGACATGTTATACACATTTAACCTGAAAGATACGACAGTGTTTGTAACAAGTCTAGCTCTTTTATAACAACATTGAATGCAAAGAAAGGACATTTTATATAAAGTTTAAGTAGTGTTTATGGTCAAGGGTCTATGGTTTTACACATATATACCAATAAAATATGTTTCGTTTTACTTTGATTTTTGTACTTATCCATAGCAACAAGCATCTTCTTGTGAGGCCGGTATGCCTCTCCCACACATAGTTAAAGAGAAATAAAGCCCGCATGACCTAGGTATATAAATGATCTTCAAATAACATGTCATTTCGTAGCATTCAGTTGGGTCGCTTAAGAGATTGACATGTTATAAATATGGTGAGCAACTTTTATAATTACATCAGCCTTTATGCCGTATTTTGACTTCTTAACCTGTTTATGTAGCTTTTTAAAAGCTCATGTACAAGTTCAATATATTTTAATTACATATATATATTCCGATTTTTTATAAGGAAATTTGAATATGACTTGCCAGGGGGTTGAAATTTAGGGTGACTATTACATCTTTTATGAGCTTGTTGAACCTTAATGGCTCTTTTGAAGTTAGGATGGGTGGTATTTTGGAACCGACCGCAGATGCTACCGTCATTTCTTCATTTCATTTCATCTGATTTTATTGACATTATATTTGTCAATTGGATTGGACATCAGGCTAGGCCTATTTAAGTCCTTTCCAAACTTATTTACAAACATTACATATATTCTGTCATAACAATCCAATTAAACAGTGCATGGGGAGATAACTCCAATTTAGCTTGTGAAATGAACATTTTACAACTTTTGTTTAATCATTTTCTGTTTATGTTTTGGATATTAACAATTAAATAAATAATATATACCTATTGACAACCCATGCT